TCCTAAAAAAAAAAAAAAAAAATCTACCCTCCACACACACACACACAACCTCACAATTTCAGAACATTTAAAATGCCCCATCCATCCCTTACCCCCACCAGATGCCCATGGGCCCTAGGGGAAGGATCTTGGCCTTCAAGGAACTGTCTCTGGGGTCAGGGGTGTACATTAACCCCTTCACTGTCTTATATCCTGCTGACTACCACCCTTCAACCCCACCCACCCACTGGGCAGTGTCTCTTTCTGTACGTTCCTGGCGCATGAGTACCCAGACCTGGTGCACAAGGTGATCATGATCAACGGCGGGGGCCCCACGGCACTGGAGCCCAGCTTCTGTTCCATCTTCAACATGCCCACATGTGTCCTGCACTGCTTGTCGCCATGTCTGGCTTGGAGCTTCCTCAAGTGAGTGACCCCGGTCCTGGCAGACTCTGGCACCACCCTGAGTTTTGTGGGAGGGGAAACTTTATAGTTGGGGCTGGCATGGGGGCACTCCTGGCGGGCTGGATGGCAGAAGGACTCCAGCAGTGCATCCCTACCACCAGGGCTGGCTTTGCCCGCCAAGGGGCCAAAGAGAAGCAGCTACTGAAGGAGGGCAATGCATTCAATGTGTCGTCCTTCGTGCTACGGGCCATGATGAGTGGCCAGTACTGGCCCGAGGGCGACGAGGTCTACCATGCTGAGCTTACTGTGCCTGTCCTGCTCGTCCATGGCATGCATGACAAGTTTGTGCCGGTGGAAGAAGACCAGCGCATGGCTGAGGTAGGGGCTCAGTACCCCAAAATCCCCCTTGTGCAACCCAGGGGGACTCAGGCATGTTTTCAGCCCCAGGGTCATGGGAACTTAGAGAAATCCAGAAAGTAGGGCTGCCCTGGCCAGCAATTAGGATTATGCACAATCCCCCTGCACATAAAAAGGCACTCTTCACATCTGGAATTTGTATAAGTGGCCAGTGAGTGGGGTGAGCTGTGGAATTCTGGAGGAGAGTGGGCCAAGGGGTCTTTAGATCAGAGATTGCCCAAAAGGGGTCTTAGGATCATTAGCCCTTAGAATAGCTCTGGACCAGTAGTTCTTAACTAGTGATGATTCTGCCTCCCCACCTCCACCCCAAGAGAAACTTGGAAATGCCTGCAGACTTTTTTTTGGTTGTTGTGTTGGGGGGGAGGTGCTACTGGCATCTGATGGTGGAGGCTAGGGATGCTGCTCAACGCTGCAGTGAATAGGATGGCCCCACAGCAAAGAAGGATCAGGCCCCAAATGTCAGTAGTGCTGGGGTTGAGAAATCCTGCTCTGGATTGTAGAAGCGTAATAAATATGGAATGGGTGAATACTAAGTTGGGCTCCAGCAGGGTGACAGGTTCCCCTTGGGTGAATGTGGAGCAATGAAGGGTAGGCTGCAGCAGGGACTTCCCAATGGGCAAGCCATGGGCTGCTGGCCGTGCATGCCCTGAGCCTTTGTTCCCTGCAGATCCTGCTCCTGGCCTTCCTGAAGCTCATCGATGAAGGCAGCCACATGGTGATGTTGGAGTGTCCAGAGACAGTCAACACGTTGCTCCACGAATTTCTGCTCTGGGAGCCCGAGCCCATGCCCAACGCCCTGACTACTCCCCCAGAGAAGAAGTAGCTACTGGGCCAGCAGGGCATTGAGGAAGAGCAGGAGTCTGTGCTGGGTCTACAGCCGAGACCACTTGGGCAGGCCTTTCGCTCTGGGGGGCGGGGTCAGGCCAGGGAGACGCCCCCAGGCTGGCTGGGCTGGGCGTGGCATTCGAGGGAGCCTGGTGGACACCACACTCTGCTTGTCCCATGGGGCCCATCCAGCCCATGGCAGGGACCCCCGCAGAGGATGACCTTGTACAGAACCCCCTCCCCACTAAAGCCATGGCCATGGCTGAGGAGGCATCCACCCCACTCTCTGTCTTACATGTCAGCCATGCTTAATCCAGGGACCCTAGGGGTAGGGGGCCACTCCATTACCAGAGGCCCCTCCACCCCCATTCCCTGGCGCTGGTAGCTTTTGTTGTCCAAGGGGGCAGGGATGGGGAGGCTGGCGCCACAGAACCTGCACATCTCAACTTGTAACTCAATAAAAAAGAAGTGACAATCCAAGCCTCTGGACTTGTGCTGGATAACTATAGGGCAGGGGTTCCCCTGAACCTTGGTTTCCCCACCTACACATCGGGCTGATGCAGGTACCTCCCCCTCCCAGCCATCCAGGACTGCTTCCTGAATTTTCCCTCCCCTCTTAAAACACAGGGGTGCTTTGGCAGTATTCCCAGAGCAGAAAGTCAAGGGGTGAGCTCCTTGTCCCTGAAGGGGAGGAAGAGGTCCATTCAGAGGTTGAGGTGAGGATCACTGGATATCACACGGGATTAGAGCAGCCATAATGGAATACCAACTGTATACAGGGCCCCACACTGAGTGTCTAACACCTATGGGTTCACTGAATCCCCTTCACCCCAAGTCACACAGCAAGTCAGTGCCTCTTGCTATCCCATTTTATCTTTCAACTTGGTTTAGGGTGGCTTTTGTCACAAAGATTTTATTTTTATTTACTTTTTAAATGTTTTTATTGATTTTAGAGAGGAAGGGAGAGGGAGAGAGAGAAACATTGATGAGAAACATTGATTGGCTGCCTTGGATACAGCTTGAAACCTGGGCATGTGCCCCACCTGGGAATTGACTGGAGACCTCTTGGTGCGTGGGTCCACACTCAGTCACTGAGCAACACCAGCTGGGCTTGAAGATTTTTATTTCAAAGCCACCAAGTCTGTATTTTTCTGTCTGGTGGAAGGATTTCCCTGCCCCACAGCATGCTTTTGCTCCTCTATATTTTATCCTAATGTGTCTTTATCCAGGTACAAGTGGTTTGTGAGGATGGTGAGAGGAGACAATTGTCCCCTTGGTTACCACCTCGGGTCCTTTCCCCACTGGTTTATGAGCCCACTTTAATCCAGGGGTTCCCACCAGGGGTTCAGCTGTCCCTTGGGAAATTCTGGAGACAGTTTTGTCACATCTGGGAGGGGGAGAGCAATAGTGACATCTAGTGGGTGGAGTACAGGGATGCCTCCTGACACCCTCCAATGCATCGGACAGCCCCACCCCCAAAATAATTTGGCCACAAGTATCAGTAGAGCGTAGGTTGGGAAACTGTTAGACAAATCCCATCTCTTTGGGGACTTTGAGGGTCTCTAGATTCTTTCCCAGCAACCAGTTTGTGAATTCCTGAGTAAATGGCACATTTTTTTTTTTTTTAATTTTTATAAGAGTTTACTTGAGCCTAACTAAGGACATATGCTGGGGAGCAAGATCTCAATGCTCCCTGGCACACTGTTTTAATTGCTGTGGCTTTATCAGGAGACTTGGTATTTGGGAAGCTGCTCAGCTCAGAGAGAGGTTTCTTCAGTTCCCTTAAAATGGGAGAGCACAGGCCCCCTCCAGAGGCTGGGTCCCTAATTACAAAACCGGGTGGGGGTGGGGGTGGGGGGTGTTGTCATGAGCTCAGAAGTGGAGGAACCTAAGCTGGTAAACCTCCACCCAGGTTACAGTTGGTCCCCTGCAGAACTTGGTTAGCTAAGCTGCAATGAGGAGCAGGCAGTGAACCCAATGAGGCAGCGGATCTCCCCAAGTCCCTAAACCCACTAGACGCTTTCAAGAAATAACTTCTGAAAAACTTAAATGATCCCGCCAACATGTCACCAGAGCCACAGCCTGGCATTTTATTGAAATTCTTTGCAAATGTGACTAGTCTGAAATCAGAGCACCACCAGAAGTTGGGGTTATTGATCCCATTTTATGGCGGAAGAAACAAGTTCAGAGAAGCAATGCCAGGAACCTTGCATTGCACAGTGACCCCAAGGGCTGGTGTCTTACACCCACAACCCACAAGCTCCCTAGCCCTGGCCTGTCACCACACACCAGTCAGTACCTTGAGAGCATCAGGGCACTTCCCTTCTCCTGGAGACTTTCCACCTGGGCCCCTCTGGCTCAGTGCAGGGCTCTGAGCCACACCCTCCAATTCCTACAACAGCCCCTGAAGTAGGACCTCACTGTCCCTATTGTACAACTGAGGAAACAGGCTCAGACAAGTTACTGGTCTGAAGGTACCACATCTGGCAAGCAGCAGAATCCAGCTCTTGAACTGGGTAGATTCCCTTCATGTGGCTCAGGAAGCCCCCAGCCCATGTGGGTCCTCTGTGTCTGGGAGATAAAAGTGGACTTTGTCCACACAGACAAGCCCAAACTGCCAAAACACTGGCAAGTTCCAAAGCACCAAATGTTTCAAAAAACCTTCTGGTCCACTTGTTCTCCCCGTGTGATAGGGAGTTCACTACCTCTCTAGCAGTTCCATCTGCAACAAAGTCTTCCCTTAGCCTGAGGGTGAGATCTTCCCTGCTGCTCACTCGCCACCAGCCTTCTAAAACTAGAGATGGAGGGCTGCTCTCAGCACAGGGCAGCTGGAACATTCAAACTCCCTGATCTCTACCCAGCCTGGATGGGCAATTCCCAGTGCTCAGCCACAGGCCTGGATGTCTTGAGGTCGCAACTCTCGCTCACCCTCAGCCAGGAAGACAAGGAGAGCGCGATGTAACAGATGCACCCCCAAGCGGCGCCGCCGGGTGGGTGACCAACTCGCCACCACTCCATAGCAGTGTCCTCGTTTCTGGTTGGTCAGTGTCCGGATCCCTGGAGAAATTAGGGGTAAGGTCACAGGGGCAGCCTCAGTGAACTACAGGTAGAAGCTGTGACAGTGAACCCACTGTGTATTCCCCTAAAGCAGGTATAAACCCATGGAGCAAAATATGTGCACATGCAAGTACAAAGTTGGTGCTCAATAATTACTCATTGAACAACTGAACAGCCCTGAGAGGGGAGGGGTGAGGGAATTGGTAGATCAAGTGCCCTTCCTATGACTCCCACCCCATGAGCCAGGCACCCACCTAGAGCATCCACAAGACATGCCTCTCGAGTGTAAGCCTCCACAGCGACCACATGCTGGAAGCAATGCAGGGACACAACACCACGACCACTAGCCCAAATGTCCAAGATCTGGCGCACTTTGGGGCAGGCCTGCGGGGCAAGGGGAGGATCAGGGGTCTGCCTCCCAATTCCCTCCTTCCTCTACCTGCCCACAGCCTGGCTGCCCCTGCCCTGACTTATCCTCATACCTGTTTTCCTGACTGCCCACGGTAGCCAAGGGCCTCCCAGAGGTGAACATTTGGCCGGGCCCGTGTCCCCTTGCCCACATAGAAGATGGCATGGACAAAAGTCCGAAGGCATTCAGCTGGAGTTAGTGAGAAGGCTCGGGCTGGCAGGTTCTGAGTCTTCCTGGATGAAAAGGGTTTGCTCAGAGAGGAAAAATTGACAGGAGTAGCCCTGGAGAAAATCTCTAAGGTCACAGAGTATATAGAACCCATATCCAGTGACCCACATTTTATAAGGCAAAAAGTGGTAGCTGCTCCCCAAAGTCACTCAGCAGCTTGAATTAGTTCCACCTGCCTTTTATAGATAAAACTTATGACCAGAGAGGGCCAGTTCCCTTCCTGAGGAAATACAGCATATAAGAAACAATCCCAGAATTTTCCAGCTCCCACTTCTGAGTACCTGGGGTCCAGCAGCAGATATATAAAACTGGACTTCACTATCCCCTCCCGCCACCTTCTGCTAGGATCTGGTTGTTCAAATTGCTGGGCAAGTGTATCCTCGTCTGCCTGGGCGTCTGGGATTCGGCCTGTCCTCAGGGCCTTAGTCAGCTCTGGGCTGTGCCCTGAAAAGTCTGGGCCTGGGAGGGGAAACTGAGTCAAGGGAGACAGAGGAAGGGGTGGTCCCCAGAGATGAAGAGAAAAGTGGGCCTGAGAGCTGGGAGTCTCTGGGGACTCCTGGAAGCTCCTTGAACTCTGGATGCCCAGAAGGGACTAACCAGGAACAGCCTGGGCTTCTTGTAGTCGTCGGAGGTAGTGTGGCCGTGTGAAGGGTGTGATGGGGCCTGGGCTCTCACCAAGTGCCCGGAGCCCTTGCAGCAGTTCCAGGTCAGACATGGCTGGGACCGCCAGGCCCCAGCAAGAGGGGACTGGGTCCCTGCCACCTGTGGAGCTCGCCTCATCCTCCGTCAGCCAGAGGGCACCCACCTCACTGTCAAGGGATGATTGGTCATCTGTTAGGAAGTGGAAGTCGAGGAGTCCAGGCAGTGGTTCCCTAGGGGGGCTGTGGGCTGGGCTCCTGTCTGGGGGGGATGTGTGGGAGGGGGAAGTCAGAGTCAGGGCCTGCAGAAGGGCTTTTAATTCGTCCTCCTTGTCCATCATGACAGCTCCATGTTCCAGCTGTGGGGTGCCCGGAGGCTTTATCATCCTCTGGGCAGGTCGGATATGAGGTAGAAGTTGCTGCCTGGTCCGGGGCAATGACCCAGCCCAGGGGGATGTATTAGGGGCTGGGTCCTTGGCTCCAGAGGCCTCAACTGCTGTGACAAAGGAGGCATCTGAGCTGCAGTCCCAGCATCCTGGGGGGGACTCCAAGCTGCCATCCTTGTCAGCAACTTCAGGGTAGGCAAGGAGTCTGGGGGGTCCAGGGCTAGCCTCCAGGTCCATGTCCCTGCTGTCACTTCTGCCCAGTGCTATGGAGTCCAGCATCACATTGGGAGGTCCAGAGGGGTTGGCATCCAGCCCCTTTCCCTTGAGGGCTGAGCCTGGAGCAGAGGATGAGAGTTGGGGTCAGAGAGCAGGGGAGGGGGAAGCTAGAGACAGACGGGAGTTGGATCAGACAGCAACAGGTGGTTGGAGTCAAAGGGAGAAGAGAGAAAGAGTGAAGGCAGAGAGAGCTGACCAGAGACACTGGATGTGAGACAGTCAGAACCAGTGGGAGACACTGGAAATCAGTGACAGAGACACCATAAGCTGGTCCATAGGCCAAGCCCCTGTCTACGCACAGGCCCCACTCACCGCTGAGCTCAGGCTCCAGCTCCTGGGTCTCTGCCCAGGTCCAGGTAGGAGTCCTAGTCAGCACTGGGAACTCCCTCAGAACTCGCACACAGTCCTGGTGCCCCTGCTGTTCTGCCAGGTCCAGCGGACTGAGTCCATCCTGCGGTGGCGCGATCGACAGGGGGCGCCTGAAGCTCTTCCCCC